ATTGTTCACGCATAGCATGAATCAATGAATATCCATCTCTTATATAAAGTAATACTTAAGTAAAATCCATGTTGAAAACCACAAATCACCAAAGATAAATCAAAAACTAAAAAACAGTGTATATACCTGCTTTTCAGCCTCTGTAAGATTGCTCCAAAGGATCCCTATCTTCTTGCTGATGGCTTTCTCCTGCCCATGATAGTGAGGCTTTAGGCGGGCATAGTGCTCAGCAAAGAAGAAATTATAACCGCTACGATTTGACTTGGGTCGAGATGGATCTCGTAAAGCCAACCGAGATCTCTTCCGACGTCGGTGGGTTGGTACAACTGAAGTATTAGAACTCTGAGACACATGAAGCATATGAGGAATATGATATAAGACACCTTTAAGCTTGTCAGAACCAAAGTTCACAGTAACCAGATATCCATTATCAAACTTTCCATCAATAATTCCAGTAACTGAACAGCCAGGCTTCAACTCCGGACTCCCTGCATCCAAAATATACAACAAAGATCCTTATTGCTGTGATACATGCTGCATATATTCAACAAACAAAAAGGGGAAAAAGGAAAGAAAATTTTGTGAGCACTAGCAAATCTAAGAAGGCGAAATTGTTAAAGATATTAAAAAATATTTTAAGTTAAACTGAGAAAACAAGTATCAGACACCATGTCCAACAAAACTTAACAGATTTATTTTTTCTTTCTTAACTGCAGCTTGAGAAACTTGCAGCAAAAAGGACCATGTACAAGACTTACTTTGAACTAAAGTTAAAGAAAGTAATTAAAGCACCAATTGCAGTCCATAGAGCCCAAGAAAAACTCCAAAGGCATGAAGAAAGATCCAAATATACAAAACCTAATAGATGAAACCACAGGGGTGTGCCTTGTATCTAGGACTCTGACTTTACGCACTGATGCACTATAAATTGTTCATCTAAGAAATAAAAAAATACATGCCTTGCCAAGTATGCTTACCAAGCAACAGAAAATTGTTAACTAAATCTCAGTAAGAGAAACAAAATAATATAAATAATAGTCTATGTTCCATCAAAAGGTTTAAACTATCTAAAATTTACAATAGGAACCACATGACGCAGTCACATCTCATGGCTATCATAAAAATTAGCACATTAATACATTAGGTAGTCCCTTTATTTTAATGCAGTGCAGATACGAGTCATACTACCAAAGTGAATATGACCCCAGTACTGTAATTATATCTATCTTTATAACATATGTAGAAACAACACATATGATTTTTGAATCACAGGCAGCAAAGAAATATATGAATAGAAAGTTAATGTAATTATACTGCAACACAGGACAAAAAATCATGCAAAAATAAGTATCAAACATACCCTGGCCTCCTAACTGGTTTGCAGCACCTTCCTCTTGGTGTGCTGATCCATTGTCAAGGCTCCCGTTTATGGCATCTGTCGAAAAGAACAGGAAAATATGTAATTTGAAATCTATGGGAAATAAAAATTATACATTCAGAAGTCATGTTTCCAAGTACCAGGAATTGATGATGAAGGGACTTGTTTGCGGAAGTAATAAGCCTGCTCATAGTGATAAAGTAATGACACATAATACTTCCGTAATACAAATGATGCACTAGTGATAGTTGTTGGGAAATCGAAGACCACAATGACTTCCTTCCATTTGCGATCTCTGATTACCTGAAACCATTCCAAGAGAACTGAAAATCTAAGGAAAAGAAATTCTCTCATTAAGTTGCAAGGTAGAAATAGGAAGATAAACTACACAATATATTCCTGCAATCATCCAGGATCCTACGCAGATTAACTTGCACCCATTCTAAAATTATGGACTAGCTTGGAACCTAACCAAGACAAGTTGGAGTATGAGTTCACCAGTTTTGTGACACTAAGTTTTGTCACAGATACACAAGTTCTACAAAGCAAACAGCATCCTCCTCACTAATTATGAAATAGGTAATCACACATACCTTCTCAAGGCCACCACGAGATGTCACCTCAACAAAAAGGCGATGTAGATCTAGTTCCTTTCCTCCTACAGTAGGAACCCTGTGTAATAAAAAGAAAATCAAAAGAAAATAAATCATATTCAACCTTGCTTTTTGTAGTTTTTACTAAAAAAAAAAAAAAGGCCTGCCATAAGAATTTATCTACTAGAGCAAAAGCAGATAATTGCCTTACATCAAGAGATAAAAAGGAAAATAAACAGGGCAAGGAACATATAGATAACCTCTAAAGTAAATGTATCCTTATTTTATGAATTTCCAGGCAAACTTGCAGACGGTACAGGTATGTTAATACACAGTATTAAATCATGACAAAAAAATAAATAAATAAATAAATAAAACCAGCACCTAACTTATTATACTACAATGTGTTTACAGGGGAGAAAGATCACATGATATCCAATCTACTAAAAAGAGAAATTCCTTGTCTTCTCAAGACTAAAAATTTAATTCTCTTACAAATGTCAATTAATTTTGTAAATACCGCTGACCTGCAAATGTCTCATTATTTTGTATCAAAACAATCAAGATCTGACTCAATAATCATTTCCATGTCCAGCAAAACACTACACTGCTAAGACAACTTTCTGAGAAAATCAAATCCCCACTTGTTGCATCTATTGTCAGGTTACAAATTGTCCGAGTTGTAATGACATGGCTACTAAAAATAGTGCTCTAAATCACAAAACTCAAAAGCTTTTAAAACACAAAATGCATATACTACCTTTTAGCCACCTATTTTTAGCGAAATACGAGTAAAAACAACTATATTACACAGAAAAAAACGAAGAAATAAAAAACATAAAACAAAGAACGAAACAACCCAGATGAGTAAAGCACATCAAAGGAACCCAGAAACATTAAAGCCACTAACTTTAAAGAGAAAAGACCAGAAACAGAGAAAAAGTTACATACTTGAATTTGATACCAAAAGACTTGTGAAAGGCCTTGAGAGTAGCCCAAAAAAGATCAGAATTTTGAACAACATCCTCGAAGTTGGCCGTTGCAGAAGGGTAGTAAGTAGCAGAGTTGGTGTTACTGTTGGGAGTGAGTGAAGAATTTTGGCCATTTATAATGTGGGTCGACATTTTTAGTGAGAGAGGTAAAGATAGAAACGAATCAAACGATAGATGATGGGGGTTTAATATTTTGCTCTACCCTATAATAAGGTTTTTAGAGAATAATAAAAACTTTATGTTATAATAAATTGTTAGTATTAAAGAAGTAATTGGGAAAGTAAAGTTTGGTAATTTAAGCAAAGAATGAGTTAGAGAGCAATAGAGGAGATGAAGATGAGATTAGGTTATAAGAGAAGGGTAAAGGCAAAGCAAGATAGTGACTTTTAATTTTTATTATTATTAATTCTTTTGTCTTATATTATCAAGTCCAAGAAGTTTAATTAAGAAGCTATCGGAACGTATATATTTTATTTGCTTCTTTTCGAAGTGAGTGTCTTGGGATAGTTGAGAACTACAATATGGAGGGTCAATATTTCTTCATCAAGTTTGCATCTTGAACTCTCAACCCTCAATTTTTTTTATAGACTTAACATAATGGATTTTTAATGTTGAATGATGAGCTTATATCAAATTTAAGCAGTAGATTTTCAAATTTGAAGGTGTAAAACCTCCTTTCAAAATCCCAAGATCAAAACTTTCCAATCTCATTGCTGTCAAATGAGTCACCAGGCCAGGGAGAGATCATCTTGTTGTCGTTAATATATATTCTCTTGATGGGTTATTAATTAGTTTAAACAATGGAAACATTTTTGCAAAACAATTAACTAAAGCATTGAGAAAAATGAGTACATCAATGTGAAGACAGAGCACCACAACCAACTCAGTCACAACAAAGTAATTTCCACTATACAAATAATAAAGAAGTTACACTTGATGAACAACTAAATCAGAAGAACTTGGGATCATAGCCATTGCTAGAAGTAGCCAAGATGTAGTAAGCAACAATATGGCCAATGGAGCCCCAAGCAAGAACATCAACGATGTTGAAGCCAACAGGGTCATTAGATTTCAAAAGACTGACATATTCCTTGGCACGAGTATCTCCAGCTTCGAAGTGGGAGACTCCATTCTGCTCAGGCAAACCTTGCTTGGCCACGTTCTCTCTCTGGAAGTTGAAGAAGACGAACCTCCCCAAGAATAAGGAAAGGCCGGTGCTGAGGCTGATGACAAGAGAAGTGTTGAGCTCAGCTTTGATGGCGCCAAAGTTGGATTTTTTAGAAGAAGAAGTGGAGAGTTTGGGGAGGGAAGATTTGGGTTTGGTGGAGAGGGGTCTGAGGCCTTGGAAGGAGATGTTGCAGGGGGAAAGTTGGTGGGTTTGGGATGAAGAGAAAGAGGGAGTGAACAAAGTGGAAGAGGCTGCAGAAGCTGCCATGGTGAGGGTTAGTGGAAGAAGAATGGAAGAGCGTTGGAAAGTGATGAACTGAGAAGAGATGAGAAGAAGTTGGTGGTGTGGAAATAGATCATATAATCCACAAGTGATGGTTGCGAAAAGTGGAGAAGATTTCTGAGGGTGGAAATCAGTAAAGAAAGATTTTGGAAAGTGAGTTGGCTTTGCTTTATTGGCTGCCTTGTGGATCAGAGATTTGGGGTAGAGGAACAAGGAGTCATATTTTCATAAATAATTAAAATAATAATGCACAGAAATATAAAAGGGATCCGTGGCGCAATGGTAGCGCGTCTGACTCCAGATCAGAAGGTTGCGTGTTCGATTCACGTCGGGTTCAATTCCCCTTGAACAAGGATCTTTCTTTTTTCTCACCTTTCTGTTTTTGATATTGATAACATATTTATTTCCCCTCAAATGTTATACGTACATGTATATTCGTAATTTGGGATGAACAATAAATCCTTTGTATTATTTTGGTCCATGTCCTAGCTTGTCTGAGAGCTAGATTTGCCCCAATGGTTTGTCTTCGTAATCAATGTCACTACTCTTATTCGTTCAACTGACCATGAACATAAGAAGAAGAACAATTAATACATAGAAAAAGGCAGGAATGATTGATGAAATTAATTGTCCTGTTAACCAGGATGCCAAAGTTGTCTGTCTCTGTCAAGTCTTTATGATTCAAATGGAACAGTGCTTACTTGCTTTCTAGCCTTCTGTACATCCCCTCCACTTTATGATCATCATCAACTCGACTCCACCAGTAGTGGACTACAACAACTAAAACAACAACCCCTAAATTGCACATCATATTACATTTACAACTACATTTTATCTCCCTACTAAATATGCATGTGCATGATACTAAGTTTCTAAATTGAACCAAAGTACACACTGCACCAACACACCACTTATTTGCAATTTCCACAGCCATCTCAAATTAAGGAATCAAGGTATGAGTAGTTACGGCAACGACCGTATTCCAGGAGGCTACCATATGTTCGGTCCCAAACGCCAATAAACAGAGCCTCTGTGTCTGGACTGTATGATATCCCCGATATCTCACCAAAGAAGTCGATTTCCTGCTCCCTCTCATACCCACTTTTAACATCATACACATGCACAAAGTCAGCAGGCTCAGCTGTTGCCATATAACGACCATCGGATGAATAGCGAATGGACCGGATAGCTCCAAGGTTGCCCTTCAAAACAGCAACAGACTCAGATGGCTTCCGTAAATCCCAAACTCGGCAGGTTTTGTCTTGGTTTCCTGTAGCAAATGTGACACCATCAGGGTGCCATGCTGATGCAAACGAGAAGTCCAAGTGCCCAGACAACTGATTGACGGTCTGTGAAAATTACAAATATAAATCAGTAAATGCTTTAATTTCTATTTACAGGATCCAGACATACATGCACCAGTAGACACCAAGTCATTTTTTTTTTTTTATCAACTTCCAGAAAAATAAATGAAAAAAGGGAAAAAGATATATGGACAGCAGTATAGATAATTACCTTTCCAGTATTAGAATCCACCAACATACCTTCTGGGTTGTCTCCAACAATTATTAGAAGTTTACCATCAGGACTCAGCGAAGTATGCTGCAAAAGCACAAAATAAAAAAAAAAAAATTCAATTGAAAGCTTCAGCCTGCAAGTGCATCATATATTGCCCAGAAAATGAAGCACAAAACCCTCCATGTCAACGAAGGCACCACATACTATACGGACAGATGGACTGTTCAATGTAACTAACTTACATTCACTGGCCAAGGAAAACGGAAATGCTTAGAGAGTTGATACTTTTCCATATCAAAATCTCTGACACCACAGTCATTATTTGAGGCAGTGAAATGGACTGCACCACTGGCAATGAAAAGCATAAGATAAATTAAACTCAGCTCTTTTTTTTTTTTTTTTTTTGGTGGCAGCGCGGCAGCCCAGAGGAAGGGGCCGCCAAGGACAGTTCTGCCAACAGCACAAGAAAGAGAAAACATACCTGGGACTGACATAAATATCAACCGCATTGGTAATAGCATTATCATCATATGTTGTACGAGAACAAAAACTCACTCCTGGTCGATCCAGATGCTGTATGCACAAGAACAAAAAAAGCCATTAACCTTGCTGAGAGTAACAAACCAAAAACCAACTTTATAATCCTTAACAAGGCCAAGATGGGAGGAGCATGACAGACATAATTAAGGCTAAACAGAAACATTAACTATGTTCGTGCATCAGAACTTTTCATATTCCCCATCATATTCAATCATGAATCCCTTAAATTTAAGAAGCTCTTCAACCAAAGGCACTCCAAGGTGCAGGTATATATACACAATACGAATGAAAATCATAATCCAAAAAAAGGGCTGCCACGATGTAGACAAGTGGGCATGCAATATATCTCTTCATTGACTCACCTTGCAAATTAATTCTCCCTGAAATCCACCAGCAACTAGCAACTTATCTTTTACAGCAAGAGTGCTCACTTGAGTCTGCGAAAATCCTTCCAACAGACTACCAGGGTGTTTCTACATTAAAGAAAAGTACATTAGTAAATTTCATCTTAGTTCAAGATGAGAAAATTTTGGCAAAGCCAAGGACAGAGAAACGCAATGTAGTTTTACAGATCAAATTTTAGTTAAAAGACACTAACTTCGGTTGGTGCCACATGGCCAGAAACATTGAGAACCTGAGACCTGCTGCAAGTTAATGAAGACCAATGAACGACTGAAAAATGTGACATAAGGTAGACATCGTGCTTTGATGTAGCCCAAACCAAGTTCCGTAACTAAAACACAGGAAAACAAAGATGTCAGACAAACACATGACAATTATTTTTCAACAAGGGAAAAACGCATCATCATTATGTAAAACCATTTCAGAAATCAAAATGCATGTCTCAACTACGTTGAATCCACAACCTATCTATATATCAGGACCACATCTTTACCAAGTAAACAAAAAATTAATCAGTATACTGTGAATTTATGCAACAAAAAGCTATGAAAGCAAGGACTCTGATGAGAACTATTCATTTAGTTATGCTAACGACCAACAAAAAAAAGGTAAATAAAACCAAGGTGCCAACAGAAAAGGAAAAAGGTTTTAGCTCATAGGTAATCACATGCAAATTTGCATTCAACTACCTGAAAATGAAGAATCGTTGATTTCACAGATCTAGAATTTCTTCTGAACTCATAAAATGAAGCCCCTTTCTTTGTAATCTTGCAATCCTGCTTACAAGAGGAAAAAAAAAAAAAAA